TGATTTTAAGAGTTGTAACTGAATCCAAATGCTCACTGACCAGACTGAACAAGCAGCTAATGCGCACTGGACTGGCTAACATCATTAGCACCCAGCTACCTGATGCCGGACACATAAGCTAACCTTTTCTTTGTTTCAGTTGGACCCGCCTGGACCAGAACCCCTGGGTCTAGCTAAGCTAACCCATTTCTCTTTCAGCCTCATCACAGTTTAATGCATTTCTGAGTCATTATTCAATTTTCACCATAAAACTGAAAGACGCTTCACTGTTTTGACTGCAGTTAACATTTCTGCATCGATTTATTCACATCGATCTGTTTTTATTTTAAAGGACACTTTCAATGCATTAAGCCTTAAATTTGAACATCCCTCAGACTTTGAAAGGACTCTTAAAACCCTTCTTTACTTTTTTTGTTTATTATTTTTAGTAGTCTTTATTGCCTGCATAGTCATTCAATATAATAATAATACTCTGTGAATATTAGCTAATAAAAGTAAAGGTAAATATTGTATATATACCAAAGGTCTTAAGTGTATAATATACACAGTGAATGATTTATCACTCAGGCTGGATTCACGCTTCTTTCAGTAGCATCCGAATGAACAGAGATGCTGTATTTGGTTGGTGATTTATAACGTTGCTTATAGCCATAGTCTATCTAAAATTAAATTATATTGGACTTTGAGAGTTTTTTTTTCTTTAGATGGTCTCCAAACAACATTTTCATTTATCGCAATGATTTCTGGGACATTTTACTGTCCCATAAAGTTATATTTAAAGAGTTATCCTGACAGGCCTAGCTCCAGTTGGTGTACATAATGTTTTATTCTTAAAATTTAATTATTGTCCTCCCATATTTATCTTTAAACGAAATGCTACAAACTAGTTGTAGACAATTGTGTGACTTCCTAAGTCTATGAACAGGCAGGCTGGTTAATGGGAGGCTCCTTTTCATCTCTTCATTTGTCTCCACAGATGTCCAAAAGCCACACGTCTCCACTGAGGAAGCAACTTTTACTATACGACAGCTCTGTAACCAGAGGAGGAAGAACACCAACCATGACATACATGAAGCAGACCCTGAGTGGGCTGAAGAAGTTCAGATGCAACCAGATCCTCCTTTGATTGAAAAACTGGGGGAACCAGGACCTCCATGGTTCAAAGAGGAAGAGGAGGACCTGAAATCTCTGATTAAAAAGGAAAATGAGGAGCATGAATCTTCACGGGGTAAAGAAGAACAGAAAACCCCAGGTCCTCTATCAACTGGAAAACAGGAAGGACTAAAACTCCAATGGATTAAACAAGAAGAGGATGCAGAGGAACCAGCGCATCTATTGATTAAAGAAGAGGATTTCGAACCTGAGTCTTCCTCAACTGAAGAGGAAAAAATGGAACCAGAATCCTCCATAGTAGACAAAGAAATTGAGGATTTGTCGATACTTAAACTCGAACAGTGGGAACCAGAAGACTTACCAGCTAGATACAACCAGGATGACCTCAGTAGCAGTCGGGCAGGAAAACAGCTGGACCAGAAGCGGGAAACTGGTAGGATAATGACGTCTCCTCCTCAGGAAGTTGATTTGAGTGAAGGAGAATCGATCTCTCCTGAATTGAAGAGTGAAGTTCAAGAAGAAAGCTGCTCCTCTGTTTCAGAGAATCAGACTCATACTGGCACAAAGACAAGGTCTTTCCAATGTGATATTTGTTGGCGATCCTTTAAGAGCAAGTGTATTTTGGAACAGCATTACAGGATCCACACTGGCGAGAGGCCATTTTCCTGTGAAATATGTGGGAAATGTTTCTCTAGACGTCATCACTTAAATATACACCTTGGAACCCACACGGGTGCAAGGCCTTTTTCATGTGAAATATGTGGGAAAGGTTTCTCTCAAAGTAGTAGTTTGAATGTTCACAAGAAAATTCATACAGGTGAGAAGCCTTTTTCTTGTCACATATGTAGGAAAAGTTTTATTGAACGTCACAAATTAATTGTACATTTTAGAACTCATACTGGTGAGAAACCTTTTTCTTGTGAAACATGTGGAAAATGTTTCTCTCAAATTGCCAGTTTGAATGTTCATAAAAAAACTCACACAGATGAACGACCTTTTACATGCCAGACATGCGGCAAAAGTTTTTCTCAAATTGGTTACTTAAATGGCCACAAAAAAATCCATTCAGGTGAGAAACCTTTTGCTTGTGAAACATGTGGAAGATCTTTCGGTCAGATTCGGGATTTAAATGTTCACAAGAGAATCCACACAGGTGAGAGACCTTTTTCTTGTCAAACGTGTGGGAAAAGTTTCTCTCGGGTTGGTAGTTTAAACGTTCACAAGAAAATTCATACAGGTGAGAGACCTTTCTGTTGTCAGATATGTGGAAAAGGTTTTATTGAACGTCATAAATTAATTTTACACCAGAGAACCCACACAGGTGTGAAGTCTTTCTCATGTGAAATCTGCAAGAAAAGTTTTGCCCAAGTTGGTAGGCTCAATTCCCACATGGAGAAGGTACACAAAAATTAGAAGTAGCCATTTCCCACTAAATTATATTTGTAAATATTTACAATTTTCTTTGTAGTTTGCTCTTTGCAAAGTTTATTGGAAAATTAAAAAGTACACTAATTCTGCTTAAACAGCTTAGGTGTTCGATGTTGATTATTTTTTTTATTATTCATTTTATATAGATCTCTCCAATTACCCTTAACACACTTATTACTATTGGTGTAAGATTAACCACAGCATTCTATTGGTGATTGATTGGAGAAAAATAATATCCTGCTTTTTACAAAGTTCCCCAAAAAAGCAGAAAAAGAAAAATATGAAAAAGGATGACTAAAATCATTATTCATCAGAATATCAAAAGTCAATAAGACATGTTTCTTTCGAGTATCCAAACCGCCTCTCCTTTGAAATTATGGATCAAACACTAGCCCTAAGATGAGGAAGTACTACAGACTAAGAACGAAAGCTCTTCAACTACAAGAATAAAGGTCCATTTGTTTTGTTTTGCATGTGTTTTGGTTAGAGCCCAGGAACCTGCTTCTTCATGTTTGAAGGTTGCCTTTACAGTCTGAATTTAGCCATAATCCTTCAGGATAGCTGACAGTCAGCTTTTCCAGGTTTTATGATTTTTTTTAAACCAAGTATTATTTTGATCAATTTAATTTTGTTAATATTTTAACTGTATACAAAGTGCACTACATGATCAATATTAATGCTGTATGAAGATAATCATAACGTATATCTATATTGCTTTTAAAGTTTCTTTTAGGCCATTCCCAAACAAAATGTAAGTAGGGTGGACTAAACTGGTATTCAGCATATAGCAATTGAACAGAGTCTTTGTAGATTACCCCAAGTACACTGAATTATTGCACATAAAGCTTTTTTTTTGTGCCCCTGCAATTCAGCAAAGACTCACTGTCTTTTAAAAAATTTAGACTCATAGAGTTTTGTGGTGCCTCGTCTGAAAGAATGCTGTTGGACCTAACCTCAGAGCCAGACTTTAACTACATCGCCCAGCATGCATAGCAGTCAGGACCTCAAAGGTCAGGTTTTAAAAGAACTGTAAAAGCAATGCCGTGTGTTTTTTTTGTGATTCATGCCTCAACAAAGGCACCCCCTCCCCGCTTGCTCAGCAATCCATGTCAAAACTTAATGCATACTTGTGTTCTAAGTTTTTCCACTTTTTATTCTTCGCCCCAAAAAAGAACCTGGCACAGTTTTGGGTTTGCCTGCACAGGATACCAAGTTCCATTTCTAAGTGCTGTTCAAGGGTCTTTGGATTAGCAGAGCAGCCTCATACCATCAGAACAGGGAAAATCCATGGAGGATTATCCCAAGAAGACATGATTTGGGCTGAATCACAAATTGGCCCCTAACACTAACCCTTTGTTTGCACCTGTCGGTGGAGGGTCCTCCTCCTTAAAGGAATAGTACACCCAAAACATGATTAGCCTTCATTTTCTACTCACCCCCATGCTGAACAACACTCTGGAGTACTTTTTTGA